TGGGTGTAAGCATTAAAGCCTGGCTCGATCGTTGCTCAGGAAAAACAACATTGTCTCCAGCCAAGCACGGCAGATTTACTGTGTTAGCAGCACTCGCTCTGTGAATGAAGCTGCCTCATCTTCAACATACTGTTCTCATTGATTTTGGCCTGTTTAAAAACCTCAGGCTAGGACAAAAATGTCAGGCACTCCCTTTGGTGCTCAGTTCAGCATTTAAGAAGGTACAACATTTCTCTAGCACAGGAGATCCTTTCTTCCCATTGGCCTGACAAATGACAGACACAATTTTCTTTCCATTCCATGGGATTTATGCTGGATAGGTATTATATTGCTTTAGTTCCAGATATTTTCTAGCCATAAGTTTGTAGTGGATGGGGATTTTTGTTATCTGTCCAGGTGTTCCCTGGAGTTCAGGAGATGGTCAAGGACTGGGATAGGTGCTTCTGCATTGTAGCATGTTCTTTTTTAATTGTCTGCTTCCTCTTCGGGAACACCACACTCTAGAAAAGCTGCATGTATTTAGCAAGCCTGGGGTCCTCATTTAGCAAGTACTTAAACATAGGCTTAATATAAGATGATCATTTATCTCAGTGTTATTAATTGTTTACAGTATAGGGCACAGAGCACCTCTCATACAAGAGGAGACTGAGCGAGCTGGGGTTGTTCAGTCTCGAGAAGACAGGGCTCAGGGGGACCTTAGCAATGTTTATATATGTCTGATAGGAGGTGCAGAGAGGACAGTGCTGCCAAGTGACAGAAGAGGCAACTTCTGAAAAAGGGCAGAAACTGAAATACACAGGGAGTTTTACCTGCAAAAAGAAAACACTTTTCTGCTGTGAGAGTGGTTGAACACTGGAGCACATTGCTGAGAGGTTTTGGAGTCTTCATCTTTGGAGATACTTGAAGCCTGACTGGACATGGCCCTGGGCAACCTGCTGTAGCTGACCTTGCTTTGAGTGGAAGGGTTGGACTAGGCAGTCCACAAAAGTCCCTTCCCACCTTAACTGTTCTGATTTTATGGTTGCTATTGCAGCTTATCATCAGGCCAACAGAAGAACCCAAGCTCCATTGTAGCAGTTGGTTTTGCTCTGTCAGAAGCCACCCTGTGTTCCTAGGAGGCTCTTTTTGGCCTGATTGCAGCCGAAGATGTATTAAGCTGCCTAGAGTCCAGCAGCAGCAGCTCCTCCTTCCTCACTGTTTGAAGCTTCTCCTCAGAATCAGATAATGATTTTCAATTACTAGTTAGCAATGTCAATATAGTATGGTCTTGTGAATGACAGTTGTGCACTGCTGCACAATCCTGAACTAAAGTTTTCTGCTGAAGTGAACAGTAGAAATAGAGAAGCCTCCTTCTCCCAAGACACACCAGTGGACACACTCACAGACTTCTCAGTCTTGCATCCTTGAAACCCTCATGGTCAAAGAGAGTAAATACTGACTTCTGGCTTTAGTGTGGGAGCCAGGAACAGACATATATGCATTGCTTTATTTGGAAAGCCACTAACACACCACCAATAAGAAAAAGTTTATCTATTTTGCAACTGCAGATAGTTTAACGAAAGGCTACAAATATTGCTTGAACCTGCAGAACAAAATAATCATCACTTGAAATGATGCCAGGTTGTCCCAGGTAACTTGCTGAAAACCATGACAGCCCATGGATCCCACCCGCAGAACTTGTCTCCTTTACAAGACACCACAGATCTCAACACATCTGCTGCAGCGCTTCCATTTTACTCTGCCCATTCCCATGGCTTTGTTTTCTCTCCCTTGCTTTCCTTACCTATTCCTGGGAGCCAGCGAGAGAGAAATTAACTGAAATTAGCTACTAGTGTTCTCTGTTCAAATTTGTTTTCCAGTAAGTTTGAGCAAAGTCCACCAGGTAAGAGGGACTACAAATATTTCTGCATTTTTATTCTCACAGTTTGAAGTGTGATGCTTTGTTGGTTAGGGGTTTATGAGAATGCCTGGGCTTTCACCATAGTAGATTTTAAAGTACAAATGAGTGCAGTGCAGCAATCTGCTATCAGCAGCAGTGCTTGAATGCAAGAAAAACATGCATGCAACTTATTATTCCTAGTTAATGAAGATTTTCTTCTGGTTTGACACGGCATATTCTACAGAGCTTTGAAATCTTTAAAACTAAACCTTTTTGTCTTCACTTACCCTCTTGCAGAGTTAGATATAGGACAAAACAGCAAAGCATTGGGAAATAGATAGTAAGTTCTTTATCTTTGCTAGGCTTTTACTCTACATTTCTTAGCTTTACATATGCAAGGAAGGCTTAAGGGTGGATTGGCTTTCATGACAAATAGGTAATTCCTTTGGCAGAAGATTTTTGGTGAGAGATGCATCTTGGTTTTCTAGTTTCCCTGGCATGATGCCATTTTTTTGTCAGTGGCTTTTCTGACTCACGTGAGTAAGGACACAGTCACTCTCCTTGAGTTACATGTTTTGGAGAGGCTTAGTAAACTTCTCGCTGCCAGCCTGCCTGCAGCACAGCAGTGTTATTCAGCAATTCTGCTGGAAAAACATGTGCTGTCTTGGAAAGACACAAAATGCATAAACACTTTCATGGCAAGGTCTTAGAGGGGTCAGAGAAATCAAACTGATTGACTGATTGGCTAAAATGAAGCAGAGAAGCTATGTGCCCTCATTCCCCTTCAAAATCAGCCCCTTACAGGACCAGGTCTTCAGGAAAATAACCAGATTGGAGGGATAACTGAGGTATTTCTTTATTTGCAGTCTGAAACTTAGATGTAAACAATATACAGAGTTCCAGAGTGTTTGGGAAGGCTTGGATTGACAGGCATAGGAGGCAATGAAAGCTCTTGTGTTTTTTAAAACTGTCATTGACTAATCATATTGATTCAAACACGAGTGGTGTAGCACATGCTCCCAGCGGCACCAATCGCTTAAGTCGAGATGCACATCTGACTCTGCCAATGTTAAATAACAATTACTCCCAGCTGCATATTCCTAACCAAAATTAACAGACTGCAGCAAGTGGCTGCTGTTAAAGGTAGGGGACCAGGTCTGAAGGCCCCAGAAATTCCTTCCCTATCTGTGGTTATACATTACATAAAACCGAAATCAAGGGTCTCTGCAAGTGATGATAGTTTATATTGCTCCGGTAGCGTGTAACGTTCATTTATCGTCTTTTACAGCTGTAGAAGTCTTGAGGTTACTTTTACACTGGTAGCATAGCAGAGAAAAGTTCCCACCCTGCTTCCCTGGCAGGCCGGCGGATGCTGAGGCAGAGGACTAATGAGGGGGAAGCCGGGGATGGGGCCACAGCTGCTCCCACCCATCTGCTCTTGTGCCATTCTCTAGATATCCCCTGGGCCGCTTCCTCCTTCCAGTCCGTCCCACCTGGTCGTTTTCAACATTTCCATCTAAATCTGGTTGCTTTTGCTTCGTTTTCTTCATCACCAGGTTCAGAATGGCTGTCCCATCCCTGGGCACCCTAAGTAAGTGCTAGGCCATCTCTCTGTGAGCAAAGCCTGGTTTCTGTGACATTAGCTGTGGCTAGCAGAAGAGGTCAACTGCCCTCATTTGCTTAACAAGGGAGTAGAAGTATTAGGGCTGACAGCGAGAATGCTTTTGGTTGTTTTTAGATGAATCTAATCTATGAACTGCAAACCTAGTTTATGGATGTCCAAACTAAACATTAAGCAGAAGCAATCAACTTTGTTCTTTCAAAAGCCTAATATGTAGGTTCTTTGGGTGTTGGGTTTTTTTTCCTTTTTTTAACCTTTAGGTAGAGTCAGGACAGTCCCAAATTTTATACAGCAGAAACTAAAGATGGAGACATTAGCGTTCTGTGGCTTCACTTAGCAGGTACCGATTAACAGGTTCCTGTCATTCATTCAAAAAGTTTAGAGCTTTGTTGCCAAGTTGCAACAAATTCATGGCTAGCTTTAACTGATGGTGATACCGCACATGAACAATTTCTGGTACCATAAATACCTTCACTCACTGGAAAACAAACTAAAGCATCTACTTCAAAGTGTGTCTGTCCTGTGGAATTTAGGAAGAACTCCTGGAAAGTCTGAACAAGGCACACTGAAATTTGTGGGATTATTCACCTACATCAAGTTAGGCAAATACTAATGTGAGCTACAGCTTCAATGTGTATCCTAATGAAAGTGATGCATATGTTTATAATTCAATACAAGCTCTAAACAGCTTATAGGAATATCCTATGGACATTCATAACCCATATCCCCTCCGTATTCTTACAGACAATCTTCATAATATGCTTCAAGGGGATTATTAAATAACCTACAGTGAATTTCAGTGTTCTTTCCTGACCTGAACTCCTCCCTTCAACCTAAAAATCCTTTAGACTACTTTTTTATATTCTGGAGCTTATACTTGCTGTCCGTTTCATCTTTTTGAAAAAAATAGAGCAACATAGCATAGTGCAATTTTCCCTGCATTGTCTCTCTTTACTTCCCCATTAACTAATGGAATGAAATGTTCCTTATTTCTGGTAGAATTCCTTTTTACTACTCTATTAGTTGTAACTTTGAAGCTTCAGCCCTTCTGACTTTATACACTCATGCTATTACTTTTTACTTGCTTTGAGCCAGAAAGCTTTATTCTCACTTTTTTATATGATTCCCCAGCTCACTCAAAAAAAAAAACCCAACAACATTTTATTTCAACACAGAAACCATCATTTTATTGGAAATAATCAACAGAACTGCAAGAAGTTTTAACGCAGTGCTGCACTATGTATATTTTATTATAGAACTGCTCTCTGGTTGAAAGTCCTACCACTGCACCAGCTTGAAAGCTTCTTAACAGAATGTCACAAATAGCATTTTAGATTTTCTTACATACCTTGTGCTAGCAAACCTCCCCACGTGTGACAAACCTCTTAGTTTGAAAGAGGAACTGGTAAACAGACTGTACAAAACTGATCTTTCAGTATCTATGGCAGTTGTCTTTTTGCTGTTGGCAGCCTCCATTTTAAAGGGAGTGGCTTTTTCACTTCATTTCAGTTTATTAGTAGGCTGACTTAGAGTTTTGCCACCATCCGCCTCCAATTCATTTGCCTCTTCCTGTAATTCATACTCGAGCTCATAGTCCGAGACTGATTCAGTGTTATCATCCCAGTAATCAGCTTCGTATCTGTCCAGTAAGTATTTCTGTGGTGTAATGTCATCATCAGGAAAATTCTTTGGTTTTTTCTTTTTTATTTTCTTTCGAATCTTAGAAAGCTGCTGCTCCTGCTCTTCTGTCCAAGCAATGCTTTCTATATCTCTTGACACTTTCAGTCTTTTGTAGTCCATTATCTGCTTATTCAGCAGTTCATGATCAATACCAAAAAGATTAGACCGCATGGATGAATCTGAAGATTGAGTTGCTGAAGAGAACAGTTTACTGTGGAAAGGAAAACAAATGCTGTGAGCTTTTTCCTTCGTGTATATTTTAAGGGGCAATACTAATTGTGACAACTTGAGTAACGCGGAAATAAACTCGAGTTTTCAGTTTGATTTCATTAATGGACTGTGTTCAGCGTTGTGGTCCCTATGTTAAGAAGGAAGAGATACCACTGTACTAAGTGTCCAAAGACAGACTGTGTATAAGCCTGTCAGTGTGTCAACAGATTTAACGGGAGGAAGCCAATAAAGCAGCTACATTCCAGATGAAACTGCTTGCTTCTGGGAAAAAGTGTGCATAGGTAGCAGAGTGAGCACTGGACCTGGGAGCCCCAAGGAAGTTAGATTTCTCCCAGCTCTTCCAAGAAGTGAGAAGCAGCAGCCTGTGCCCCGAACGCATCAGACAGGTGTATGAATAACAGCATATGGCACCTTAAGCTGAACTTAAGTATTTCCACAAGACAGGGAGGAAGATGCTAGGTGCCCTGTGGGAAAGTCTGTCACAACAATGATTTCCCCCAAGAAGCTATTTCTGATTTGCACCTGATGAACCATCCTGTGGGAGGTGAAGGCACAAAAGGCATTTCCACCAACAGACTGCAGCACACAAGTGCAAGGCTGTTGGCTTTGAGAGCACCCAGTCCGCAGAAACATTATTTCAACAGATTGTTCAGCCCTATCCCTCAACAGCCAAAAATCCCTCACAGAAGAATGCTGAATTAACTTACTTTTTGTTAACTTAGGGAGATTTATCAGTAGACTTGTACTCATGTATAACAATCCACACTTATACCAGAAAAAAAATGGCCAAGTAGAGGAGTACCAACAAATGTAGAGTTTTTATGCTCATGTATCCTGGGCTGCATCAAAAGAAGGGTGTCCAGCAGGTCGAGGCAGGTGATTCTGCCCCTCTACTCCACTCTGGTGAGACCCTACCTGGAGTACTGTGTCCAGCTCTGGAGCCCTCAGCACAGGAAAGACATGGACCTGTTGGAGCAGGTCCAGAGGAGGGCCACCAAAATGATGAGAGGGATGGAACAGCTCTCCTGTGAGGACAGGGTGAGAGAGCTGGGGTTGTTCAGCCTGGAAAAGAGAAGGCTCCAGGGGGACCTTACTGCAGCCTTCCAGTACTTAAAGGGGGCTTATAAGAAAGATGGGGACAGACTTTTTAGCAGGGCCTTTAGCAACAGGACGGGGGTAATGGTGTTAAACTAGAGGAGGGTAGACTTAGACTAGATATAAGGAAGACATTTTGTACAATGAGGGTGGTGAGAGACTGGCACAGGTTGCCCAGAGAGGTGGTAGCTGCCCCATCCCTGGAAACATTCCAGTTCTGGCTGGATGGGGCTCTGAGCAACCTGATCTAGTTGAAGATGTCCCTGCTCACTGCAGGGGGGTTGCACTAGATAGCCTTTGAAGGTCCCTTCCAACCCAAAGATTCTATGATTCTATAAGAAAATTACCAGCAAGAAACAAATATTACCACTGCAAAGCATTTTCTAAAATTTAATTGTCACAAACACGTTGGGTCTTGAATTCTTAAAAATTCTAAAAATATTTTCTTCATAGAAGTAAAGATACCAATACCAGAACAAGTATTGGGTCTGCAAGTAGCAAATCTGATGACTATGTCACTCAGAGTACAGACATCAAACACAGCTAATTTCTAAGACTGTGTTCTGGTATCACCTTATGGGTTGGTTGCCTCTGACACCATATACGTTATGCTGTTACAAGTGACAATTCAGTCATTCTCCACAGCTTAACAAAGGTCCACTTATATATAAAAAATGTATTTCCTTTCCATATTTGCAAACCTGTGGTCTGCAGAAAGGTATCTCTGCACAAGAACCAATGACAAAATAGCCTATGAAAATGTTTCTGCGCTAAAATATGGAAGTAAACCAGCGCATATATAGTAAGAAATATTTTACCTTAATTTTCATAAATGGGTGTAACATTGGTAAAGAAAGCTTAAGGCACAAAATAAAACACTGTCCTCTACATTTAATTTCTGGGGTGATTACGTTTTGTCCTAGACTATTCTGTAGCCTCTTCTGTTAATAAAAAGGGGTCAACCGATCTCTTTAAAAGCCGAGATGCCTTTTTGGTAAGGTCTTCCAAAAAGTCTCTCTCAATTTCCTCATCACACCATTTGCTGAACTCTAGGATAACAACAATGTACACATCTAATTAAAATATACTTTCTGTCACGTCAAATAATACCCAATTTAAGTTAGCCAACAGAAATGGAAGTGGACACTTGTACAATTCTGATTTGAAAAAACCCACCTAGAATCATTCTGAGAGAGTGTTTCTACTTCTTCTGTAGGTCCAAAATCAGCAATTGACAATAATTCCTCAATCTGTAAACACATTAAATCAATACATATTAAAGGCCCTGTATTAAATTTACATTGTTCACACATACACAAGAAACAGGCATATATCAAACAGCAAATATTTTACTTTCTATGTGTTTGGAATATTTAGTAAAACCATTTCAAAATAGCCTTTTCTTTCACTTACATGGAAGTGCTTATACTTCTTGCCTGGGAAGTCTGTGTCAACTAACTGATGCAAGGTTTCCCACAAAGTTTTTTGCCTCGTACATTCTGAACAGTTGGCTAGGGATTGTGTGAAAAACATAATTTTTGTTTTACTTGGTCTTACTTCAGTCTTGCAAATCTTTTTTCGTAACATTCTTACACTGGGGTGGGGTTTTTTTTTTCCTCCCCCTTTCTGCAAGTTTGTATTTCTATTGCATGTAAATACTGAGTTCCTCACTCCCTTTTAACATGGCACCTAACCAGTAAATGCTACAAATCTAGTATATCCAGTGCTTATAGACTGTACCTAATTGTGAAAATTTTATTTAATTTGAGATTTTTATTCCTAGTTGTCTTCGGTGGTTAACTTTCTTTGGTGCCTATGCACTGAACTTGAAGGTAAGGTAGTACAGGGGTTTTCTTCAAGAAGAGTAAGTGGTCATTTAACAAAGTTTCAGAGACAGTGGTTAGTGGAACAGGTTCCACAGTAACAGACCTGAAAGGCAGGACCTGCAGGGGCAGATGTCTGTAGCTCCATCTGCGTACGTTAATAACAGAGTAATAGTAATGACAAAGTGCTTCCATAATCACTTGTTACTTCTTGTGTAGAATTTCTTGCGTTGATTAGGGGGAGCATAATAACAAATACAAACAGCTTTCGGAAGTGTTTACTTAATTTATATTCTTGTTGATGCTAATGCAGGTGAACAACATTTGCACTGTGGATCATTATATTGGCATGAAACTCGGAATTTTTCTGACCACAGAAAGTTCAAGCAATTCACTGCATTTCTAGAGATTCTGAAGTTCTTGTTACCCCTTCCGGCTCTGGTAATACACAGCGCATGAGCCCATAAGTCACTAACAATAATTGGTTGTAATAGTAACACATCTAAGAATAAGGCACTTGAGGGCACAAATGTGAACATGCACTTGTCAACTGATGTTCTTTCCATTCACATTGAGCTTGAGGAGATGCTTTTCATGGGATTCCACTCCCTGGTGTCATCTTTCTCTTCTGGAAATCTCACAATTTAAGAGCTCTCACTTCATAGTCCTAATGACAGTAAATTCATAGAAAACATCATTATTCTAGCAGTATTTCAAAAAGTTAAAAGTATCAACACCTTGACAGAAAATGTGGAATAGTAAAAGTAATTTTAAAAGTAGGGAAAAAAAATTTAGTATGAGTGAGCTTACATCCGCTATGCGAAAGATCTGCGCTTCCCTAGAAACATTTTAACAATTCACAGATGGAAAAGGGTTGGGCTAAAAAAACCCAAGCTTTAAAGTCATGTGGTTACATTCAATGGCATTTTAAAAACACATAACATCTAAAATGTGGAAGACAGCTCCTCAGACTTCGTTTCTATAATCATGTATACCAGGCAACAGACAACTGCCTACCCTGTATTATTCCTTAAAATTCTAATTTCATTTTTTAGGATTTCTTTATTGGCCTAATGATCTGGCCTACAAGCTTTTCTGAAAACTTCACTTCAGAAATGTTAATAGTAGCAATCAAAAAAAGCTCATGAGGCAATAGCTACGAGGATTCTTTCACATTGTACATAAGCATCAGTCTTAGTCAAGATTCTTTGCTAAAACACTTTGGAACATGAAGAGGAAACGGTATAGACGAAGACTGATTTTTAATGTAGATTGGTAGAACAATTGAATGATCAGCGCTCTCAGTATTCCTAAGCATTATGGTATGCTAAGTTTATTTATTATCTTATACAAATATCATTATATTTGTACATTGAGTCAAAGACTACAATTACCTCTTTTACAGCTGCAGCTTCTTTGTCTTTCACAAATACTATTGGGGGCACATTTCCTAGAATCTGCTGACTCGTCAGAAGATACCTGGCAAAAATACAGCATTCACCAGCATAAGTAACAGTACAGCACCCCTCCAGGACAGATAAAGTATGTTAGATTAATTCCTGCAGTACTGCAAAGTTAAGGATATGGTTTGCAAAACTTAGTCTGACGGGTAACCATTCAGGTTAGTGCTAAGCAATACTATCACTGCAGAATCCCAATGCTGAATGTATAACATACAAAAACCACTAGCTGCAGGTCCCACTGACTACTGATGATTTAAGAGTTGTCTCCTATATGTGCTAAGCGATACTGCTATCACTGCAGAATCCCAAAACTTAGTCTGACGGGTAACCATTCAGGTTAGTGCTAAGCAATACTGCTATCATTGCAGAATCCCAATGCTGAAAGTATAACATACAAAAACCACTAGCTGCAGGTCCCACTGACTACTGATGATTTAAGAGTTGTCTCCTATATGCACAGGCTGGCGCAGGTCTTTCCTCACTTCATTTGGCTTCCTTATCCCTGCTGTAAAGGCGAGAGCAGTGGGGGATAGAGCCCTCACAGCAGGGCAAGACAATTAGTCCTACGTGCTAGCTGCAGAAAGGACCTACAGGACTCCCATCATCATCTTCCCAGCCAGCCACATTCCTTCTCAAAGAGAGGAAGCTGATGGGAGCAGAAGAGAGCACTGTGCTGGACACAGCCTAGGGAAACAGGGGGAAAGGAAATGGCTCTACAGGTATGTTTCAATGCCACCTTCCCCATGGGGTGAACTCCTGATCCTCCAACAGACTGGCTAGATAGCAGAGGGTAAGCCCAGGAAAGAGGGAGAAACAAAAATGTCTATGATACCCTGAAAACTCACTGGACCCTCTGCCAAAAATGGGTAAAAGCATCATACTACACTGTAGCATCCCAACATTTATTTTTTGTATCAGTATTATGAAGAATTTCTGTAGTATCAGGCATCCTTTCTGGAGGTCCAAATTGTCCCTAGCGACCCAAACTGCCCAGTGAATCTGCAGCATCATATTCTGGCCTACTGTCGTGCACAGCATGTCCAGCCCACCGTCACTGAAGTGAAACTTCAGTGAAGTTTCAGTACAATGAAGTGAAACTTCATCCAAACTCCTCCTTCTTTCTCCTCAGCCCAGTCCAATCCTAGGAAAGCACAGAAGCCAAATAAGCCAGCTGTGCTCCTGCAGAATACATAGCTGGTCTGACACAGTCATCCTTCCCTGTGAGGCTCATCACAGGCAATGCTCTTGACTCCAAATATCTTAAAAACCTAAAGCATCCTAACAAGTCATATACAGTTTGTTAGAAATACTTAAGAAATACTAGTACATGGCTATCAATTTATGAAGTGGTCTAACTGTTTGTCCCACAGCAGTACCGTATACGTGGAGCACTCTTCTGCAGTACACTTTCAACATAACTTTCTTTCTCCGTAGTAGCACCAGGATTCCAGTACACACGACACGCTGAAAAGTTTGATGCCAGGGACACCTGCAAAAAGACAAACATTTCTTTAAAATTATATATATACATACACTTCATATACAACAAAGTCTCTAATTCACAAATACACATACAGTGACTCAAAACAGGTATGTAAATTCTTAGGAGAATCTCTCTGCCAACTCTGCTCTTAAGAACGAAAATTACGTGATGCCTTTATAGAGGTAGTTTAACACCAAATAAGATTTACATTCAGTACCTGAAAGGACTTTTTTTATTCACTGTCTGATCTCCCCTTCAACTGAAATTAAATGGGGAAGTCTGTCAACACCTGTATGTTACTGACAATGCTACAGTGTCAATGCGACAGTGCTACCATCACAAATACTCCAGAGAATGACAATTTACGAATACAGTTGAAAGTGTAAGCTTCCGCTAAAGAAGGACCTGTGACAGAGCCTGGTTTGTGGTCACCCAGAGTTTGATTTTGATAGTGACAGAAAAGAGAACGCCCTCCATGCCACTGTAATGTAAGAGACCCTCCAGCTCTAAAGCCTGCTAGGAACCTCCAGGGCCTGAACTTCTAGCTCACTAACAGATAATATTTGTAGCTGTCATGCAAGCAACAGAAAACGCACAGTGTGCAGGGGCCAAAGCACACAGGAGATAGATTGACAGTCTTCCTGAAGAATAAACTTCTGAAACACAAACTGAATTCTGAAAGATTTCTGTAACTCTCATTCACTGCATCTAGCAGCATCTTACAGAACAGGTTCTTGCCATGACAGTACACTCAGCAAACTTCTAATAACTTGTCTGGCTCAACCGAAGGAAGGAGCTGAGGAAGAGGGAGGATAAAGAATAAACTACTCATTGGAAGGCAGAGTTCAGAGGTCATCTAATCCAGAAAGCAACTCTTCAAACAAACACGTGTCTACAGACATTTGCAGGAAAAGACAATTCCATCAGGGTATTCCCAGGAATGAAAACCATGTCACAGTCTGCTGTTGACAGTGCTACTCTTTCCTAGGGCAGAATGGACTGTCCTCAAAAAACAAAGTAGATACTGATTTTCTCCACCGACAAATAACTCCTCCCTTGGGAAATCCACCACTCATTACAAAAAAACCCACCATGATCATTAACCAGCTGTTTCTACTGCAGGATCAACCCTCCGCATCTCCCACACTGCATCTAATGTAAGCACATAAACAACCCTAAGTAACACAAGCCTGTCTTCATCATCACATGAGTAATGTTATCGAGTGGATAAAAGTTTGATGTATCAAGCCTGAAGCATGACGCCTATCTGTTTTGCTTTTACGTAATTTTAACTTTTGATACCCAAAAAACCAAATTCTGATGGATTGCAGAAGGCCTACTAGAAGATTTCTTTTGGTAACGTAAGTAATTGTATCAGACCAGAATCAGCTCAAAAGTAAGTCAGGACTGAGTCTCAACCATGTCCCAGTGCAGCACGAACACTAAGCACTATGTAATTATAAAAAATCTGTGCTATATTTGGAAGAATGCTGTTTCTTTCCCTCTCTCATAAGTTACTTCATCTACAGCAATGCCTCCTGAAAGTTCTGTGGCTTGCCTACACCGGACAGTATTTTTATGTGCAGACACGCCACCCAAGTTAGACAAGCTATCCTCAAGGCCCTAGGTAGAGAAATTCTGTATGAAGGATACTGCACATATAGAGCCAACAGATTCATCTTGACCATGTAATTTCAATCACTTGCCTGAAGACAGAATGAATTCAAAAACACGTTTCAATCATAAATGACAAACCAAGCCCTTGTCATACATGCAGCTATGAGGTGCAATTTTTTTTCCCATGTTTCTAGCTAACAAAGCTAAGTCCATCAAGCTTTTAAGCAAACATTGGTATCATTTAATATTAACAAAATAGCAAATGCAGAAGAAAAAACTACAGACAACAAACAAGAATGTGGAGACTGGCTTAGCTCCTGAAATTAGAGCTTTAACATCCCTTCCAAACCCAGGAATTATGACAACGCTAGCTACAATTAAGATACAAATTCCAATTCTTTCAGGAACCTTGCTTGCCAATGCCATTTTCTTAGGTTTGCCTTTTCTTTTGAACTAAGCTCGTGCCCCACCTAGGTCTTATGCCTGTGTAATGATGCTGGTGAGGGACACAAGGAGGTATCAGCTCTCACAGAGCTGCACAAAGAAAGGTTTTACACGTAGGTAAAACCAGGCTCATCCTTCTGAAAGGGCATGGCAAATAGTACATGTCTGAGTAACAGAAAAAAGTCATACCAGGAGAATCACCATTTAGTTGGCCTAAGTTGCATTTGCATTATAGTGGGAAAGGTCTACTAAGCCAGGTACAACAGTGGTAAAGTTTTCCTAATGTCCAAGATGAATCCAGAGCCCCATCTTCCTGTGATGTGCCACGTCAGCAGCAATGCAGCAGAACTCCTCCTGCACACATCACAACATCCAGGGCAGCTCCTTTGGCGCACCATGCCGACCTCAAGGCACAGTCAGAGCCATTCAACACAAGCTGCAGCTTTGGCACTTGCCTTGCAGACTTCCAGCTTGAGATCATAAAGTTCTTGATTAACTTCACAGGTAGTCATCATGTCTGCCACAGCTTTATGGATAAGACTATTCAAGACTCTGAGGCGTATGTTATCTTCCTTCCTAGTTTTTGTCTGGTCATCTTTCATTACAGTGGCAAACTTGGTTGGTTTATACATCTGAAAAAAAAATACACAAATCACTAATTACAAACTTGTACTAGGCAATTATATACAGTTTTATGCACTCTACTAGGTATGCTCTTAGAATGCCATTACTGGAGCTGTGATGGCTTGGTATAAGCCTTATGCATCAGGTGTTTCAATAAAGAATATTTCTCTTCACAAAAATCCTTGACCTTCATGTATTACAGTCAAGGTTTCTTAGTTTCTTTATTATTTTGTAGCAAGTTATTCCACTCAATAAATCAGTTTTCTAAAATACAGCATGTATTAACTGAAAAGCATTGCTTGTTTAAAAAACAAACATGAAAACTTGTTTCCTGCAGAAGCAAAACTAAGCTGGTACACGGAATTTCTAATCTGGATCGGTTGTCTGCTATGGGCTCAAGAGCACACAAGAGAGTGTTGGTGTTGGCGCAGGTGAAAGACAGCACAGGAGAAGAAACGGCCACTGGGAGCCAAACGGCTTCTCTCCACAGCAATCCTGGCATGTCACAGTGGAACTGAGGCCCTAGCGTTCATTCACAAAATTCTGCTATTTCTCCATCAGAAAACGTTTTTCCCGTTAGACACAGTGGCAGAAGCACAAGCTTGTTCCACCTCCACAGATAAACACTGCGCCTTAAACGCTTGCACTTACCAATTTAGATCCCAGGGTAGGGCTGTTATACCAAAACTTCTTCCTTTTGGGGAAAAAAAGGAAAGGAAATCAGCTTTACCCTTCAGCAGCGCAGAGAAACAACTGTGTCACTAAAACCACCGGCAACACCCTGGTTTCCATGCCCGCAAGCGGTTTTCCCCACGGGGGTTACAGGCGCGGGTGTGATACGGGGAGCTGCGCTTCCCGGCCACGGCTGCAGCCGCGCACGGAGGGGGGAAAGCACAACCCGATGGCCGCCTCAGGGATCGGCGTCACTTCGCACAAGAACGACTTGGCCTTATCACGGCCCCACGGGCCCC